CTCCTGTTGATGTAATGGCTGGGATCATGTCAGAACTTGGTAAAATTTTAGACAGTCCATGTACACCCTTTCCCCACCAGGCCAAATTTTAGGTATGCTGCAAGAAGAGGGAAGAGGCCACTAGGGGAGAAAAAATAGATGAGAAGGTGATGGGTACCATAAACCAGGGTTTAATTCCTTTGTTACATACAGTGCTGTGGTAAGTGGTTTTTAAACATTTTGAATGATGGAAGATGTGTTTAATGGTTTTTTTCTGATCTTGAAGCTGGCCTAGGCAATGCAATTACACTGAAGCGGAGAGAGATGTCACTGCAGTGCCTTTTGGCGACTGAGCCCCTGACCTAGAAAGCCAGGCTGGCCGCGCGCGTCCTGACCTTGCCCCTGTGTCACCATCTTCTACGTTTGGAGTGCCACCCTGTGGTGAAATTGTGCAATACTTTCTTTTTTAACTTGCAATTATTTAAATCGTCGGCACATGTCACCATTTGACAACCTGGAGCATTCCACCCACTGGTGAACTCGTGTTATTAATTAATTATGGCCTCTGCTTAGGCTTTCTTTCTCGCCTCCAAAATATGCAGCGCAGGTGGTGCAAGTCCCTTTGCCTCTTGCTGTGTGATGGCTCCCAACATCTCGACAGGACAGGAATGGCTCACCTCCTCAGCTGAGGATTTTTCTGGATTGTTTATTTGTTGAGATCTGCTGCACTTCTAACCTTAGCATCAGAGCTGCTTAGGTAATTGTCTTACTGCTAATTTAATGACAGTGAAGTTGACATTGCCCTTACTTTATGCTCATCAAAATACCAAGTGTTATTATTTATGTATTTTTTGTTGTTTGAGTTTTACACCGTTGATTTTTTTCCCCTCTAATCAACAGTAACAGTTACATGATTTGCATTTATATACATGGAGAGTCAAGATTCACAGGGAGAGGCAGCACTTCATTGGTTGAAAACCAGACAAAATTTTAGGTATGCAATCTTTTCAGGAGTGATGTTGATAAATAGCTTCAAACCTAGACATGGATTGAAATAAATTAGCTCTGGACTTAGTTTATATTATTCAGTTAGACAATTTGAATGATAAAGGGGTTGGTACTTGTGGAACAGAAGGAAGTGATGGCAAGAAGTTAAGCTGAGAATATAATTAACCCCTGTGAGTGTTGTGGTTTAACATAGACATAATTAGTGGTTATGGGAGAAGAATGGAAACCATAATTTGCCGTAAAACCAATCTCTCTACTGAGTCTGTAGTGTTTAGTATCCAGGAGTTGTGAGCGTTAAGTTCTTAAGCTCAGGATCAAGACTTAAGAGGTCACAGATAAACTGGTTGTTTTGTAAAAAATCATTTCCTTTATTCATTTTCTGTAGGAGCACACACTGGCAAACAAGTTTGATGTTTCCCCCTACAATTTATACAAAAGCATTTAAAATTGTGTCATAGGCCAAGGCTAATACACATTCATTGCATTTTTCATTTTGATGAATGGCATTCCTTACGGCTTTGTGTTGGCAAGTTTTGCATTTATGCTCTTGCAGAGTCTGGCTCCAGCCTGTGCATGGTGGCCTCCTGCTGCTGCTGAATGTAGTGAAGTTATGGGAGCATTTGAAAGCTAGGAGTTCCGCTTGGGTAGCATGCATCAAACAAGGAAGACTAAATTGTTTTGGCAGCAGAATTCAAGTAGTTGAGTGGATTGTAGAAAGATAAAAAAATATTTGCTCCAATAGACATCCTTTGGCCTAAGTAACTGCAGAAGACCAGAGCTCTCTGCATAAACCACACAAGAAAAGCACTTAAGTATTGTTGTTCCCATTTTAAGAGGAACTGGGAAATATAATAAATGACTTTAAGGTCATATAAAACCCTAAAAGAACTAGGGATAGAGAGGTTCCTGGTCCTCCTCATTAAGCAAAAGAACATCCATTCTCCAACTGTACCCCATGAAAGGAAGGTTGAATTCTGTTTCAGATGGCTTCGCAAGAAAGTTGTCATTTATCCATACTTGTGTGTAACCTTATAAACACTAATAAATAACCTTATAAACACGTCTGCTAATACACAGACGAGGGCAAAGCCTGAGGAAGAGATCAGATTTGCCAGTTTTTACTATTGCTTGGGTTCCTTACAGAAATTACTATTTCATATTTCATTGATGAAAAGGAAAGAATATAAACATTTTAAGAGAAAAACTTTATTAAAATGCATTGTAATGCTCTGGACTAACCTTTAAAGGGAGATGCATAAGGATCACGGTATGAATGAAGTGAATTTATAGCTCTCTAGTAAAGTTGAAAAAAATAGGGTGGAGGAAACAGTATCAAACTGAAACATTGTCATGCATTCCTGTCTCCATTTGCCTGCACCATTCTACTTTGAAAAAAAATTTCTCTTTC